TTAATGTGAATCAAGAGTTAAGAACAGGTACTGTGGCTGTGGCTCAGTGGCAGAGCACTTGCCTGGCCCGTGTGAGGCACTGGGTTCGATCCTCAGCACCACATAAAGATAAATAAAATAAAGGTATAAAAAATACAAGAATATTATTTAAAAAAAAAAAAGAGTTAAGAACCAATGTCCTTGAGCCGTGGCTACCTGAGCCAGGAAAGGACATCTGCAGAAGTTCAGAGATGGCCAAGCTCCAGCTGGTGGTAGGGCAGCTAGAAGGGGCAAAGTGGTGCTGGCCAGAATTTCTCTATCACCTCCCTCACCCCTCACCCTCTCCAGCCTAGGGACAGCTTCTCTGTCTTTTACCTTTGTCTTTGTCCACTCTGGCCTTAGGGAGCCCTGGTGTTGAGGTCTGTGCCCACTTGTTACTCTCTGACATAACTGGGAAATGGAGGGGCATAGCTCAGACTACCCTGGATCGATGCTACATAGGCTCAGGCCTGTGGACCTCCTGGGCATGGGACACTGAAGTAGGTGTTGGCTTCACTGTGGAGGCCTGGGCAAGTTCCTCCCCCACTCTCAGGGCCTCACCCTCCTCCCTGACAGAAACCTCTGACTCTCAGTGAGAACACACCACCATGTGGTCAGTTCCTCCAAGATCAGGCCTCGGCAAAGCCAATGGCAGCCTCTAGGGGGGACTGGACGCCCTACCTCGCCCTCCCTGTGCCACCTAGGCCTGCAGGACTCAGACTTTCAGAGTTAAGGGGATAATGGAACTGGAAAAATCAGACCTCTCCCCAAATGGACATGGGGTGAATGAGCTCTAATGAAGCCCTCTCTAAGGGGTACTTTCAAAGCTTCCCTGTGGTCAGCTGAGGGGACATCACTGGGAAGCATGTGCCTTGTATGATTCCTGCAGGCCTAAGGGAGTCTTTGTGTGGAGGGCTTTGTGTCCAGGTGACCAATAGCAGAGTGGTGGCACCTTCAAAACCAGCTGAGAGGAAGGATCATCGGTCTTGAAGGGAGACACTCACCCTGACCTCCTCATTTTACCATGGTGAGAGTGGGATGGCTCCTTGAGTGACTTCAGGGACAACTCTGTGAACATGAACATGCCAGGTAAAGGGAATCGGGGTCCCCTGGGTCATCATCACACAGCCAGGGAAACAGGGGCACTTTAAAGGCCGCTGAGGCCACAGTCCCACCCCCAAGAGAGGGGAGGCACTAGGGCCATTCATTGATCAGTAGCTGAGCTGAGACCAGCACCGGCCTCCCTGCCCACTCAGAAGAAATATTTTTACAGAGCTTTTGAGGAAGGAAGAGGTATGTATGGGGGCAGGGCACGAGGAGTGGGAGAGAGTTGAATAGGGTTGTGTTAGTCAGCTATTTTTTGCCGCTGTGACTAAAAGAACAATTGTAGAGGATGCAAAGTTTATTTGAGGGCTCACAGTTTGAGAGGTCTCAGTTCATAGATAGTAGGCTCCATTCCTTGGGGCTCAAGGAGAGGCAGAATATCACAGGGGAAGAAAGTGGCAGAGGGAAGCAGCTCACATGATGATCAGAAAGCAGAGACTCCATTGGCCAGATATAAATATATATCCCCAAACCATGCTCCCAATGTTCCCCCTCCTCCAGCCACACCCCACCTGCTCTCAGCCACCACTTAATCAATTCACAGATTGGGTTAAGGCTCTCATAATCCAATCATTTCTCCTCCAAACCTTCTTGCACTGTCTCACACATGAACTTTTGGGGGACAACTCATATCCAAATCATAACAAGGGTCAAGAATGTTCCTCCATGAATGGGTAAGCTGTGTCCTTTTGTATCTGGCCCTTGGGGAACTATTCGGTGCTCTGGCCACGCCTCCCACCACATGTCTAACATTCACCTATGGGAGAACTCAGGCTCTGGAGGTGAAGAGAGGCCTCTGCCTGTCCTGGAGCCCCCTCCTGCCCTAAGAGAATAGCCAGCCCTCAGCACTGTGGAACAAGTGCTCAGAGCCCCTAGGCTGGACCTGCCAGCATCCTGCCAATGCCCTACTGGGCATGAAACATGTTTCTAGGCCTGGGGAGTTCAATGAGAGGAACAAACAAGAAAATTCCTCTCCACCACCAAAAAAAACAAAACAAAACAAAAAACCAAAAACATTTAAACTCTAAACTGGTGGGAAATTGCCTGATGATAAAACCTTTACAGAAAGCAGGTAAATATTTGCAAATCTTCATGGCCCAATGGTTCTTCTAATACAAGGAGTGAAAGCATAACCAGCAGTTGGCGGAGTAAGCGGGAGGAGGGCTTGAAGAGTACTTTCAGGGAGAGGAGGGACAGGTGAAATAAGGGGGTGTGGCTGCCACAGAGTATTCAGTGGCACGCTGCTGGGTAGACCAGCTGTCACAGCTGCCTCTCTCCTGACTTGATCTGTGCTCCCTCCTCTATTTCAGAAACATTTTGTTTTGTTTTGTTTCTTAATGCAATACTACTCTGTGTGATTCTCCTCCTTAGACCAGAGCGCTCCCAGCACCAAGCAGGTAAGGGATGGAAGGAGAGAAGGGAAGAAGCGAAACAAACTGCTGACCTTTCCTCACTAGAGGTTTTGTGGGTTTGAGTCAAGGAGTTGCTGTTGTTTTTTTAATACACTTCATACCTTTTTGATTCAGCAGCATTAAGTGCCCACATTTCTGAGCAACCGTCACCACTGTCTAGTTCCAGAACTTTCTCATGGCTTCTGAAAAAGCCCATACCTGTGCAGCTGCCACTGTCCACTTATCTGTCCCATACGCATTGGCCGCTATTAATCTGCTGTCTGTCTCTATGAATTTGCCTGAGTCAAGAATATGTTTTGGTCTTTGAGTTTCACTTAAAATGCAAATAAAGTAGGAGGACCTACAATTTATATTTTCATTTTCATTCATTTGAGCAGCACCCATCCTCCCTCCCTCTCCAGGTTTAGAAATTATTTAATCCCTTTGTATTGGTGGGTGGACCCTAGCCTAGAAGTTAGGGGATAGGGGAGGGGGGTGCCAAGAATGTAGCTCAGTGGTAGAGCACTTGCCTAGCATGTGCAAGGCCCTGGATTCAATCCCTAGCACTGCAAAAAAGTTAGGAGTCCTGAGTTCCAGTTCCTTCTGTCAGAAATTTTCTTTGGGCCTCCATGTCCCCATCTGGGAGCATAGAAGGGGGGTGCAGTGGATAACCTCAGGACCCTCTAGCACAGTAGCAGAAGTGCACTGACATGAGCCCAGGGTGGTACCTGGGTGCCAGGAAGAAGGCGGAACGGGAGACACTGCTGAGGGCCTGGACCAGCCTGCTTCCTTCACCATTCCACCCTGGGCCAGCCCTGTCCACATTAGCGTCCTGGCTGGTCTCTGCAGTCTGGATGTGTCAGGCTGCGTCCTCAGGCCTGATCAGTGTTGAATCTCCTGGAAGCCTCAGGCAGTGACCTCCCTGGTCAAGCAGGGGCAGGATGGGGCAGTGCAGGGCAGGCCTTGGGATGGGGAAGGCAGAGGGCAGGGCAGGCATGGCTGTGGAGAGGGATGCCAGGTGCTCATCAGAGGCCCATGGAAGCTGGGTTCTGGGATCTTCCTGGGACTGGGCTCAGCACTGCCCCGGTAAACAGGTATAGCAGGGAAGACAATTATGACCAAATAATTTTAATCAGCTCACTCCTCCCCTTTTGAGGAAGGAGGTACCATGTCTATGGGCTCTTAGCCTCCTGAATATTACTGTGTAGTGAAGGGAGAAGATTGAGATGCAGGAGAAGAGCAGCTAACAAGAACTCAACTGGTCCATTCCAGGAAAGATGGAGGATCATTGGAAGGAGAGGCCTGGGAAAGTGGGGGACTATCCAGGTGGTTCCAGAAGGGGAGGGTGGAGTTCAGAAAGATAGTGGGTGTTTTTTTAACTTTATTTTATTTATTTATTTTTTATGTGGTGCTAAGGCAAATGCTCTACCACTGAGTTACAACCCTAACCCAGAAAGACAGTTTTGAGTTTTAGAGAGAACTGAGAAAAAGGAAAAGAGATTTGGACAACTTCTGACAGGATTGGGCTGGAGAAGAGAAATGTTGAGGACAGATTTGGAGGATGTTTTGTTGTGTGATGTACCCGTAACCCCATCCTCCGTATTCCCAAAACTACCACTGGTGATGTATGTCACAACTCAGTGCTTTTGCAGTCAGATTGGTATCTTTTTTTTTTTTAAATAGAACATTGGCTTGGCTCCATTTGAATTACTCAGAGACAAACATCTTTAGCAGGTTTTGTCAGTGTTCCATTAGCTAAATATTAGCTTTCCTGTTTTGTGTGTTGCCTTAATCACTTTGTAAACCCTTCCACAGTGGGAGGATCCTCAGAAATCACCTCTTTGGCCTGTAGTTCCCCGTCTCCTCAGCTTTGGGGTCTCCTGAATAGGTGTGCCCATTCAGAGGGATAAGGGGAAACTAAGTTACCAGCTGAGGCAGCTCGCCATCCACAGAGTCCTCCACTCTTCCCTCCCCACACACCTCACCCCCTTCTCCCTGGGGCCCCTCCTGGTTGGGTTCCAGCATCTTCTCTCAGCCTCCCTCACTCCTTCTGGAAAGCGTGTGCGATGCCCTGCCCTCTGCACCTTGGGCCACTATGACAATCTCAGGATTCCAGCCAGAGAGAATGCTCACTGCCCAGCAGGGACTCCTCCATTGTTCCAGCAATGGTGCAGCAGCCCTGGGAGACTCTGTAACTGTGTGTCCACAACTGCAGTCCCTTCCAGTGTGGCCTCCTGAGGAGCTGATGGACATAGCCCTCAGAGTGAGGGACTATAGGTCCTTGGCCTGGTTACAGTCAGCCTCAGACTCCAGGTACCTGCTCGTCTTCTTCCCCATGGCCTCCCACTAGCCTCTGACCCATCTGGGAAATGGGGTGGTATTGTCTTCCTCAGTGGGTTCCTGGGAGGTCAGAGAGAAGGGATGCAAAGTGCTGGCCCCAACACAATCAGGACTCCTTCAATAGGGCCCAATCCCAAGTCACAACTCAGATATAGAAGAGAGATTGCCAGTCTTGATCTTTTTAAAATAGCTTCTTTTTTTCACCATGCTTTTATTTTTTATTTACTTACTTTTAATATGGTGCTGAGGATCAAACTCAGAGCCTCATATGTGCTAGGCAAACACTCACCACTGAGCTGTAGTGGCCCCCCCTCCTCCACAGAAAATATTAACTAAGCTTCTCCAGAAATCTTCACCATAATTGATTTTAGGACTATCAGTCTAAACAAGTCTCCACAGAAGAGTTCATTGTAGGTAAACTTCCTATTTTCTTGTTGCTCTATTTTACTTGGCCACTGGCCTGGAAGAAATCAGCAAACGCCCCTTTACTAGTTTTTCACAAACATTTATCCAATATAGTAGTTTGTAGAAGTGTGTTCACAAATGCAAAATGTGATAATAAAAAGATAGATCCTTTAACAAGTCCTCTGGCCTTGAGCTGGGCTTCACAGAGATGTCTACATTTCTGAGATAAGAGAAGCTAACAATCGGGCTCCATGGTAGCAGCTGGCAGGGGGAGGAAAGAAAGGGGAGAAGAAGCTCTCCCCTTCTCAGGTGTTGTCCTTGAAGGGTTAACTTGCCTAAAACAATGAAAGAAAAAGCTGCTTTTATGTGAACTTCTGCAGACTGTGAACTTCTGAGCCCCTCCCCTTACATGCTGGGTATGAAGTTCTGAAACTACCTGAACTTGGGGTTCAGGGGATTGATTGATTACAGAGAAAGCTGTGCCCTCTGAACCTGGCTGCAGCCAAATGAAACTGCTTCCTGCTATCTTTGATGCCTTGCCTCATCTGTCCCCTACAACAAGCCATAACCCCAGCCCACTCTTGATCTTCTTAAATGCAACATATGAGTTTCTAAAACTGAAGATATCTCCCTCTCTCTCTCTCTCTCTCTCTCTCTCTCTCTCTCTCTCCCGCTCTCCCCCCACCCCGCCCCATTTATTTATTTATTTATTTATTTATTTATTTATTTATTTATTTATTTATTTATTTAGTGGTGGTTCTGGGGACTGAAGCCAGGAGTGCTTTACCACTGAGCTACATCTCCAGACCTTGTTATTTTTTATTTTGAGAGAGTCTCACAGAGTTACTGAGGATTTCTCTCAAGTTGCCCAGGTTGGTCTCAAATTTGGGATCCTTCTGTCTCAGCCTCTGGAGTCTCTGGGATTACAGGTGTTCTCCATTGTGCTGAGCTCAATATTTTCCCCCCTGGGGAGTAAAGTGGCTCTCAGTTTTATGGTCTTATGCAGTCAGGGGCCTGGGGTGCAGGGAGACAACTTGCCCTCCATTATCCTTCCACCTACACTGCCATGGAAACATCCATCATTTCCATCCATCATTTCTGTTCTGTGGCAGGCCCAGGACCAACCTGCACACATCACCCTGCTGCTGGGGAAGGGGGAAATGCCAGGCACCGGGGTTGGGAGTTCTCCCTGCCTCTTGCCTCCCTTCCCCAACTCTGACATATCCTGTGCCCACATCAGTGAAGTGCAGAGCTGTCCTGGCTAGGGGGAGTGTGAATAGGGAACAGAGAAAAGCATGAGTTAATGTCTCAACACTTGTTCCCATCACAATTTCCGATCTGTGAGAATAGGAACATTTTGCTACTCAGTCCTTCTGTGAGGCCATGGGAGAGAGGGAGGCCAGACAATCAGAGGAGATGAGTTCAGGGAGGGCAGGGAGAGATGAAGATGCTCTGAGAGCCCTTCTGGATGGTGTGCTCCCCGGATGGTGTGCTTCCCATGGCCCCTTCCTAATTACTTTGCTCTTTTTAAAGCCAATTAGCTGAAAGCAGTAATGGGATTTCACAGTGGGGCTCCCTGGCCATATGGCTCTGAGCCTCCCTGGGTGTACTGGGGATGGCTTTGGGGAAGCTGGAGAGTGACAGATGGGTTTGGTGACATTCAGGAAATTATGCAAACCTGCTCGGTCCTGAGCCTGGGGCCCTGATTCATGGCAGGAGATGGGAGGGCAGGGGCTGGGGAGGGAAGACAAATGTGAATTAGTGATCACAGGGGTGTGTTCTGCCAGTGCCTTGGAACCAAGGGCCTTTTAAATACAACTGAGAACAGAGGGGCTGCTGGAGGTGGAGGGGGAACTTCACCGGACTCCTGAGTGCAACCGGCTGCACTTCCCTGGGCACAGTGCCTCTCCTTTCTTCACTCCAGGTTGCTGTCTGTGAAATGGGATACAACCACCTCTCCTGTGGGGATTAAATTCACATGGCTAGTGCCAAGTACAAGGTCAGTGTTTAACATATCATAGTTAGCAGGCCACTGGCCCCACTGCCCCAGCAAGATGGGAAACATGGAATAGAGACACCAGCAAAGGGCAGGGGCAGGAGGGAGGAAACCATTTCCCACCCGTTGCCTACACCCCAACCCCACACCCCATGGGAGGTGCCCTTAGGAGCCTGGAAAATGAATAGGACTCAGGAGGAAGAGGGAAGTGGGGAGTCAGCCCAGAGCAGCACAGGCAAAGGCTCTCACACAGGAAAGTGTCCCAGGAGGTGGCTTTTCATACATTGGAAATGAAAAAAGAAAACAAGTTGTGGGTCTTGGGTATTCTTGGGAGCCAGGCAGGATGACGTAAGCCAGTAATCCCAGTGAATTGGGAGGCTGAGGCAGGAGGATTGAAAGTTCGAAGTCAATCTCAGCAATTTAGCAAGACCCTGCATCAAAATAAAAAATCAAATGGTCTGGGGATGTAACTCAGTGGCAGAACCCCCTGGGTTCAATCCTCAGTACTAAAAAAAGAAAAAGAAAAAAGAAAAAACAACACAGACTTTCTTCTGTAGGCAATGGACAAGCCATTGACAATTTCTGAGGAGGTAAATGGCAGGATATGATCTGGGTGCTAGAAGCACAGATCTGGTGACACTGTGGAGAGAAAATTGGCAGGGATGAGACTGGAATTAGAAAGGTCAACCCAGGTGAGAGGGGAGGAGGAGGAGCAGGAGAGGGTGTCAAGAGATGTATGGGACAGGTGTGATGGTAGAATCAACAGGTCTTGGTAAGCAATAGCTGTGACTGGGGGTTGAGAAGTAGTCTAGGATGATGCCAAACTGCTGGTTAGGAAGTCTGGGGTGCTGGGATTACAGAGATGGGGTGTGGAGCGGGCAGCAGGCCTGAGCAAGGCGATGACCTTGCATTTGGACAGGGTGAGTTTGAGGAGCAACCTTCCAGGAAATGGTGAGCAAAATATGGGCGTCTGAATCCCAGGCATGTGTTTAGCTCCTTGTTTGAGGTTCCCTATCCCCACCCCACCCTCAGGGCACTGTGGAATGGGTGTCCGGTGGCTCCTTGACACTGGCAGTGGAGGTACAGGGCCTGCAGGCTGTGCTAAGTGCTGTGTGACCTGGATCGGCTGCTGCCCCTTGTCTCCCATGCTCAGTGCTAAGCCAAGTCCAGGACAAGGGGGTCTCTAAAGTGTGGGTCCCAGCTTTCCACCTCCCTGGCTGGACCTCAGAGCAGGTATCCATTTGTGGCCTGGCACTGTGCTCTAGCTTCCTGGACCCTACACCCTTACCCTGCTGAAATCTTAGTTAGTTGCAGAGAATGACCCTTTGGTTGGCTTCCTGGGGCTTGGCCATGTCTATCAAAAAAAAAAAAAGAAAAAGAAAAAGAAGTTATTTAAAGATAAATTTAATCTTCTTTATTGCACTTGATAATTAAAAATTGAATTGGATTTTTTTATTCTCCTGCTCCCTGGCTAAAGTTAGCTGTGTGAAGGTGGCGCTGGGCAGGCTTCCGAGGCCTCGTGAGGTCTGGCAAAGGAGATCTTCAGACCTTCACTGGTGTTACTGGAAGAAGCAAGCTGTTTTCTGGTAAAAGGAGAAGATCAACAAATGCCAGCAAACTGGGACTCTTTTTGAAAAGAGTAGCTGGGAAATTACCACTAACTGGGCAACAACTGATTGAGAGAATGATGAGATGATCTAACCCCCACCTGCACCCCGTAACCCTACACACACAAATACACAATTCTCTCCTTAGATTTCGTAATCCTCATTTAATAGTCATCATCATTCCTTCCACAAGCTTTTACTGAGCCTCTCTTTGTGTATCAACATTGTCCTACCATACTCTGGGAATACAGATATGAAGACAGTATTCTACAGGGATGAGCCTGGCCTTTGGGGTATCTCGGGGTACCCAAATCCCATCCTTTTGCCACTTAGGCCTAAACCGGTCAGAGCAGGACATACTGTACTGATTGCTTCTGCAGTGGGCACTTGTTCCAATCAGAAGAAGTCCCAGGACTTTTGTTCAATAGTCAAAGAAAAAAAGAGCTTTCTTCTAAATGTTTCAGAGGTTGGACGGGAGACCTGGGAACAGCTGCAGTTGTTTTGCGACTATGAGAAAAGCTGGACAGAAAAGGAAACAATTATATAGAAGAGAGAAGAGCCCTGAGGATGGATGCAAAGGAACACAGCCAGAGCCCTGATCAAACTTTGTCCGATTGCCAGACTTCATTGGCCAGCCTACACTTCCTTCTATTTAAACTAATTCGTAGCCAAAAAATTTCTAACTGAAACGGGCACATATTGTGCGCCTGCCATTTACATGACAAATCCAATTTAGTCTTTACAATAGCCTTTTAATATAGAGATTGGCAACCTTATTTTACAGATGGAAATACTGAAGCCTGTGGTTAAGAGACTTCCTGAGGTCACCCCACTAGTCAGTGAGGGAGTTGGTGTTTGAGAAGTTTATCACCTTAATCCTTTTTTTTTAATAATGGGGATTGAAATCAACAACACTTAACCACTGAGACACATCCCCAGCCCTTTTTAATATTTTTATTTAGAGACAGGGTCTCCCCGAGTTTCTTAGGGCCTCACTAAGTTGCTGAGACTGGCTTTGAACTCGCTATCCTCCTGCCTCAGCCTCCTGAGCCACTGTGATTACAAGTGTGCGCTATGGGGCCTGTTCCACAATCCATTTTCTGCAAAACGGGACTATTTATTGTCCTGGCAACTTTCTCAAATTCGTCTCTCTTAGGAATCCTCTTGGCTGATTTCTTTTCTTTCTTTTTGAAATTGAGAATGGGCCTCCGTTTCATGGCCCCTTGGGCAAGGCCATGCTATACAACCCTAAGCTCTTGTAGGTAGTTTGAGGAAGGCTTAGCAGACATGGAATTGCAGAGCTAGGACCAGAGTGAGCTAGATCTCAAGAGGCAGGGAGCCCAGCTGACATCTGAGCCCAGGATGGGAAAATAGAAACCAGTGCCTTGTAGAGAAAATGCCTTCGGCTTGTCCTGTAGACAGACTTCCTGCTGCGGTGAACCTTATTTGTGCATTCGGAGCAATCTTGACATTTAAATAGATTAATTCTAATTTGACATTTTGACCAAAGGAACTATTAACCCCTCCCCTACTGGGAGACAAACAGCTGTGGGGCCTGACCGGCAGGTGACCCCATCAAGCTGTTCCGGTCCCTTCTGTGGCTTCATATCCTCCTCCACAACTCTGAGTTATGATCAGGGGGTGCACAGTTGCTCTCTTCTGGGCTCATTTTTCACTCTGGCTGGTTTTGCTGGATATGTGATCAAAGCTAAATCTGTTTGTTGTGGGGGGGGGGCAGGTGGTGGTGGCGGCCCCATACCTGGGCGGTTAGAGAAACTTGAGATTGGAGGCCAATCTCAAGTTTTAAATGGGAATTGCTTTATATTGTTGATGACTTTTATGAATCAGCATGCTTCCGTTTGGTACAGATCTATGCACTTGTATCCTGTTGCTTCATCGGATGCTCTCCTCGACCCCAGGGAGAGACAGCATGTGTCATTAGCCTCTTTTCAGGGTAGGGATATTAAGCCCAGAGATGTCAAGTCAGTCGCCCCCCTTGCTCAGTGGGTTATTATTCAAGTCAATGCCTTCAACCTCTGACAAGCAAGCACTCTTTCTACTACACTTTGAAGGCTATTTCTTTCATGCAAATGGAGAGTTATGTAAAGAATAGGCTGAACTTAAATTTTAAGGACTTGCCCCAGTAGTCCCTTCTACTCTGGGCATTGAAGGCACCCTCCCCTCGCCACCTCACTCCTGCCCCCTGTAGACACTGGCCTTGTGTTAACCATTGTGTGCTCCCAGGGAACCCATCTCCGCACAAGGCTGTGGCTGGGTAACATGTCTGGGTAACACGGTGTAGGGCAAGGATCCTCTGTGGTACACCACTGACATGCGGACTGGATATAATTCTTTGTTTTACAGACATTTAAATGACACTGCAAGACATTTAGCATTCCTAGACCCTGGTCACTAAACTCTAGTAGTGCCTCCCCATTCTATCATACCCCCTCCCCCAAACTCCCAGAGAGTCCCCAATCTCCTGGGTGGTGGTAGGGACTAGGCAGAGTAGGGGTGGTCAGTTCAAGCTCTGGCTGAGAACACAGGTTTGGAATTAAGATGGCTGAGAATTCAAGCCTTGTCTCTACTCTCCCTAGCAAAATGGAATCTGGAAGGCTGATTTCCTGATCCAGAACATTTACTGAAGAGAATAATCATGAAAGCGACATGAGCTAATGGACCAAAAGCACAAACTCTATGCCAACTTCAAAGCCTTTTTAGAAACTAACAAAAGTAACAAAATGAAGTCCTGTCCCTTTAAGACTTGACCTTACTGTGCACACAGTAGGTGCTCAATAAAGGTGACTTTCCAGCACATCCCTCAATCACATGAACAATAATAAACTTTTATTAGGTACTTAGTCTCTCAGTCAACAAGCAAAGCATTTGACACTTTACCCCCTTGATTCCCACTGCCACCCTATGAGGTTGGTACTATTATTGTCCCGGTTTTTAAAACTGAAGGACTTGAGAGCCATAAAGCAGAAGTTGGCCAACTGAGGATTATGAGTGAAATCTTGCCACAGTCTGCTTTTTTCCCCCGTATTTTTGGTCGGCGCATTATCGTGCATAATGATGGGATTTGTTGTTACCCATTTTGGTGTGCTTTTATTGGAAACAGCCACATTGATTTATTTATGTGTTGCCCATAGCTGCTTTGCTGTTCAGTAGCTACTTGCAACAGAGATCACATTTGACCCGCAAAACCTAAAATATTTCCCATCTGGCCCTTCAAACAACAAGTCTGCTGATCCCTGCTCTAGAAGGTGTGTGGCACCTGTGAGTCTGAGCTTTGGAATAAGACTGAACTGAGCTGGGGTCCTGGGTCCACCACTCATTAGTTTTGTCACTAAAACTGGTGGGCAACTAAATAAACTTTCACTAAGTGGTTATTAGAAAATGAAATTGTAAAACGTACACGTTAAAATAAATTATGTCTTGCAGGGAAACTTCCTCAAATTCTGAGGCAGTTCATAAAATAAATTAATTTTGTGGTAAGTACATAAAAGATACCCTCGTTCATGGTGTATGATTCAGTGTCATTAAAAACATTCACAATGTCATGCAACCATCACTACTGTCCATTTCCAGAATTTCTTACCACCCAAACAGGAAATGTACACATGAAACTAAACTCCCCAATCCCCTCCATCCCAGATCCTGGTAAACTCTATTCAACTTTCTGTCTTTATGACTTTGCTTAAAAAAAAGGGGGGGGATTGAAGCCAGAATGTAGCATTACCAATCAGATCTTATTTTTTATTTGAGTCAGGGTTTTGCTCAGTTGCTGAGGCTAGCCTTGAACTTGTGATCCTCCTGCCTCTGCCTCCTGAAGAGCTGGGATTACAAGTGTCCTCTCTCTTGAGGCCTGTCCCTGGTGGAGTGTCTATTTTGCAGGCCTTTGCGTGTGCCGTCTCTCTCTTAAAACAGGATGGCTGGGACTTACTTATAGGATGTCGATGGGCTTCCAGGAGGAACAGCATGCTTTGCTCGTATCACACTTGCTACTATCTCATTGGTCAAAACAAGTCACACAAGTGAGTCATGAGTGTGATGGGTCATCAGTGAACAGTTGCCCACAGGGGCTTCCATGGGATACCTGATGTGGCTCAGCTTCCCTGTCAGGGCCCAAGAACATGCTGCTAGAATTGGCATTTCTTTCCCACACGTCTCCTGGCTCAGGCCATCTTGAAGTCCTTTATCAGCCTGTATTTCCTTAGGTTAATTAATCTGAACCATAAGTGAGAGACAATCTAACCTCTCTTTCTTTGGATGATCAGTCTTCACTTTTCCCTTGTTTGACTAACAGGACTTACGTAGTAGTTTTTTGCATTCATTTAGTCTGTGGCTGCTCGGAAAAATGAGGGAGGAATTTGGCACTAAAATGTCAAGTTCAATGTCACAAATAGAGTCAGTGGAATATGGAGAGGGCTCCCAGGAGAGGTAGGCTCAATTTTGGACAAATGTCACCATGTCTGGCTATAGAGTCCCTGGTTGTCACATGGTGGGAGAGGGAAGGACTTAAATCACGAGTGGCTGAAATGTCCACTCCAACTCCAGGTAAAAGAGGTCCAAGTCTTCCAGGCACAGGGGCACACGCCTGTAATCCAATGTCTTGGAAGGCTGAGGCAGGAGGATCACGAGTTCAAAGCCAGGCTCAGCAAAATTGAGGCTCTAAGCAACTCAGTGAGACCCTGTCTCTAAATAAAATACAAAATAGGGCTGGGGATGTGGCTCAGTGGTCTAGTGCCCTGAGTTCAATCCATGGTACCACCACCCCCGCAAAAAAAAAAAAAAAAAAAAAAAAAGAGGTTCAAGTCTCCTGGGATGACAATAAAATCTCCCAAGATTTGGCAAGCCAAGCAAGTTTCATTTTCTTGATATTACACAATGACCCAAAAGGACCATAGCTTTTGAAAGGAGTGGGATGACAAAGATCACAGAATTTAAAAAAAAAATCCACAAAAGAATCAGCTTGTAGGGCTTGGTAGCAATTGAAACTATTTTCCTTCCCAGGGGACAGGGCACCTTCCCTCTATATGTGGTGGAGGCTCCACTGGGGCAGGGTCTGGGTGGGGGTAGGAGAGGAGCCTCCTACAGAACCATCTTTCCAGGATTTGGACCCTTTATGGAGAAGACTGAATTTG